AGAAACATCCCATATTAAATATTTCTGATAAATGAGCCCAGTGGTTAAACTGCAATCAGACTTAAATATTTCTGATAAATGAGCCCAGTGGATAAACTGCAATCAGGCTTCTGCTCATGAAATGAGTTCAATTCCAGTGGGTTCAGGTAGTCAACTCAAGGTTCATTCAGCCTTCCATCCTTTCAAGGACAGTAAAATGAGCATCCAACTCACTGGGGGGAGGGGGACAAAGTGTTTCTTGCATCATTATGTTCTAAACCACCCTATCTTGATGGGGGGGCTCTTGCTACTCTAGTCCACGCGCTCGTAATCTCAAGATTAGACCATTGTAACGCACTCTACGTGGGGCTACCTTTGAGGCTGATGCAGAAACTTCAGATGGTCCAGAATGCGGCAGCCAGGCATCTTAGTGGGGTGAGAAAACTCCAACATATCTCCCCCACTCTGGCTGCGCTGCACTGGTTGCCCGTCCGTTTCCGCGTTGACTTTAAAAGTATTAATGATTACATATAAAGCCCTAAACGGTTTGGGACCTCACTATCTGGCAGATCATCTTCTCCCACCCAGATCTACCCGAATCACCCACTATAGACAGCAGGGACGGCTGAGGGGTCTGACGCCGAGGGAGGCCCGGAAGGAAAAAACGAGAAACCGGGCCTTCTCGGCGGTGGCCCCCCGGCTGTGTAACACCCTCCCGACAGAAATTCGGCTGGCACCCTCGCTGGGTGTTTTTAAAAGCCAGTTAAAAACTTGGCTATTTAAGCAGGCCTTCCCTCCAGTCAGCTAAGTCTTTTTATCTCTTCTTATTCTATCCCATCTTGGTAATCCTTCTCAAATTAATTGACTTAATTAATACTGCAATTGTGTTTTTATGATTACATATATTTTTATATGGATCTATTTTTAAGTTGTAAGCCGCCCCGAGTAGACATGGTCTAGAGGGGTGGGGTATAAATTTAATAAATAAATAAATAAATATAAATAAATAACCATATTAGCCTCAAAATACACTCCAGTCTCCAACCTTGATTAGGCCAATCTCAGAAGCACAGAAACATATACAAGCTTTCGAGGTGGCAAATTTCTTCATTCAGCATAGAATTGGATGTATTTCAGATTAGGATCAAGATGCGGCCATAACATAGACCTTCAGTCCCAATGTGCTGGATTTGATCAACTTCTACATTTCTATGAAACTGATGGTATGGCTGTCAAGTTGCTTCTCTTTCCTGCCTCAGCATTTCTTTCCCTTTATTTTTGCTGTCCTTCAAGAAATAGACAAAGACCTTTCTCTTCAGGCAAGCTTTCTCTTAGTGATTGGCTGTCTGAGAGGAGTTTTCAAATGGCGTGCTGTGCCTTCTTGCTTTAATTTGTTTTTGCTGTTGATTTGTTTACCGTTTTTAACTATAGTATTTGTTTCATTCTTTTAAAATTTTGTATA